ACACACACACACACACACACACACACACACACACACACACACACACACACACACACACACACACGCACACGCACACGCAGCGCTCACAGTCTGCCTCAGTCTGCACCCGTTTTTTCACACCGGGCAAAAAATGCATTTAAACCAGCTGAAGTTAAGTTTAGAGCACAGTTTGAAATGTACACTGAAGGAAAACTGCATCACGACTTTATACTGCGGTCAGAGCTAACATGATCTGCAGCYTCTGTCTGCTGCACGGCGGCAGCTCTAACGTAACAGCGAGAAAGGACCGAGAGCTTTTWATTTTAATCCAGCASGGAYAACAATACAGGTGTTCTTCTATGCCTCCTGTGAGCAGTTCCAGCATTTTTTAAAATAAAAACAATGTGGACACGCTGATTACAGTGCGGTTTCAAACCGAAAGTAAAAACATGGAGCTCGCTGCGCTCCCGTTCGAAGTGAAACTTAAACTCTGCTGTTCTCTCTACCACTCATAGTCCGACACAGAGGGCAGAAACAGCTAAATTAGACAGTTAAAACACATTAAAAGTTCATAACTCACCCCTATTGTTGTTGGCACTCTGTGGAGATTGTGCCGAGGCTGTCACTGTTAACAGTGAACACCAGAGGGCGCAATTAACAGCTTTCTTTAAGGCACCAAAATATAGCACCGAAATTAAGAGTTGTGTTTCGGTTTGAGTACTACCGTTGATCTTTGCCCCGGTGCCATACTGGAACCGAGTTTCGGTACCCAACCCTATTTYAAACAATGGCAGCTTTGGCACTTCTGCATCTAAACGATGCCCAGTTATCAAACTCAGCTTCACAAACCTGCTTGCAACTGGTTCACAAAAAAATAATCCTTTTAAATTCCAGGTTGTAAGATAACAAAAAAGACAAAGAAAATGATTCCTTTTGCAACTCACTGTAGTGCTCTGTGTATGAAGTGATACAAATCCCTGCATCAATGTGTTACATGTTTCTTGTTGTGCAAGGAACATACTCAGACTGCAGCTCTTGGATCACTGGTCTGCTCTTTGTCCTAATGTTCTGATCATTAACAGAACCGAGGAACTTCCTGTTCTTCAGAACCTTCCAGTCTGCAAATACAAACAAAATGAAATCCTTTTACAGTTTGAAAGAACAGTTTCATATAATTCATAAACTCACCTCTGTTTAGCTCCAGACTATATTTGTTCTCTAAACCTTCAACCGACACCAGAATAATAAACTGGTGGAATAAGGGATCCTTCTGAAAGACAATATCACATAGGCATGTGCTTTTATGGTTAAATATTTTTTCCGAGGGTGGACGTTAGCAACAGCTTTATTACACGATTAATCTAAAATGTGTTTATGTGTTTTCAAATTTCTTCATCCTGGTAGTGTTTAAAACATTTATATATATTCCCCACAAACCTGACACTTCTGGAAAAAGTCCTGGTTGATGACCACATCATAAGCTATACAGCCCTGAGAGTCTGAAACAAACATTTTTTAGTAAAACTTTGAAAAAATATAGTAAAAAAAAAAACAACTAATTGCTTTGAAATGAGAAGCAATTGAGATGCAGTTTCAGTTTATCAGAAAAATGTTGGAAGCCAACCAAATCTGTAAACATAGGTTTGCTGCTCACTGAATAAAACAGTGTATTAGCAGAAATTAATTAGAAAAAAAAAAAGGATAGAAATGGAATGTTAACAAATGTGTTTCCTGTTTACAAAACAGCTTTGAATGCTAGTTTTCATACTGTTGTCGACTTCAGTATGAGGCTCGCCAAGGCTCATTGGAACTCTGTAGCCACTTGGATCCTCTGACTGGAGCAGCTGCACAAGTTCATCCTTTGTGAGTTCTGGCGGGGGAGGCACCAAGTTTGACTGACAGATATTAATGAAAACTTTGTCCTTGGAAGGCTCAGAAAAGGTTTTCACACACATGCCTGGAAGGTATAAAAACAAAAAAGAAAGAAAAACATGAGCTAAAAACACCTGAGAACTAGTGTTGTTAGTGTCACTCAATTTTTTTTTCTTTTGTACACGCAGGCAAAAACTGTCAAATTATAAGTGCTTATAAGCAACTGGGAATTAAATGTTGGATTTAAAAAAATGAGCAAAAATTATTTTAAACCAAAAAACTATGTAAACACAATATTTTTATAAAACGACAAAAGTAATCCAAATTATGTTGAAAAAGAGTTCCACTTTGTTCCTAAATTCTAAACATTACAAAGCCTTGCAAACATTTGCATTATTAAAAGTAAAGCCTTAAATTAAAAGGTGGGGTATATGATGCAAAATTAACTTTTGAGCTTTACGTCATGTTGTAATGTCATTCCCTCGTCAAAAGCATACCATACTGTTTTTTTATTTATAAAACAACACAAGGCCAACCAAAGTGCTGTGCAATAAAACAGACACATCAAGGACATAAAGTAAATTACATGAGTAAATACAAAACATTTCAAAATTAGTGCAAACAGCTGAATAAGAACAAAGCCAAAATACAGAGTGAGGCCTTTCAACAACCTTAGAGTGAAAGGCAAGTGAATAATCTATCACTTCTGAGTTTGAGTCATGAGTTTGGAACCACAAAAAAGCAGCCGATCAACTGACCTAAGAGAGCACTGTGGGTCTTACATTTCATGTAATGATCTATTTTTACTCCTAGGTTGGTGACAATTTGTTTCTCAAACAGAGCGAGGAAAGGTAGATGAAGGGGTTTCTGTTGGCATCATTAGGTGGAAGCAACATGACTTCAATTTTCTTCTCATTATAGTTTAAGAAGTTCAAAGCCATCCAATTTCTGTTACCGGCCAAACAGTCAAGGAAAGGTTGGATGGAGTGTGGACCAGTGTGCTTCAGAGGAAAGTGAATTTGACAGTCATCAGCATAGAAATGGTATGCTATGTTTTAAAAAAATACCTCTTGCTCCAGCCTGGAAACAAGGATCTCATGGTCAATGCTGTCAAAAGCTGATGTGAGGTTTAGTAGGACGAGAAGGACATATTCGCCGGGATCCAAGGCAAGGAAGATGTCATTAAACACCTTAAATAGAGCAGTCTCAGGGATGTGATGAGATCTAAAACCTGACTGAAACGTCGGAGTTTGAAGACGAGTCTAAAGATAGACACCACAGAGGGATCAATGCCAGTTTTTTGCAGGAGATAATAAAAGGTCCAGTGTAAGTCCACGTTCCTGAGTTGGACAGTTACAGATTGAGTTAGATCAAAAGAATCTGTGGGTTAAACCTGTCATTGGTAACGTGCAGAGTTGTAAAGTAACTAGGTACAAATAATTTGTAGCAAGAAGCAGATCATCTTCAGCTGCTCTATCACTGTGAGGTGAGATGGCTCTCAAGAGGACTGGTCCTCAAACGTTTGTTTGAGCTGAGGAACGAGGTCTCCTCTTTTCTTACTGAAAAGAAATTTGATCTTGCTCATCACTTTATCAACCCAAAGTTCACAGCCAAACTGGCCTACCTCTGTGATATTTTTTCACTTCTAAATCAGCTGAACACCTCACTTCAAAGAAAAAATAGCAACATATTTTTTGTTGCAGACAAAGTTCAAGCTTTCAAGAAAAAACTTGTTTTGTGGACAAAAAGGGCCCATGAAAAGAGAATGGACATGTTTCCACTTCTTTCTGACATTTTGGAAAACTCCCCTCAGGTGAAGATCAATGACTCTCTCCCAGCACAGTGTTTCCCCTATCATTATACAGGCAAGGTATAGACACATGGACAGGTCTCCAGTTCACCAGAGACACCTGGACAGGTCTCCAGTCTCCATCAGGGACACAAAAGAGACAATCGACCATCCACACTCTGTCACCCCTAGAGTCACACAGAAGAGCTCCAGAAGGTTGAGAACTTTGGACTCAGATCATCTGATCAGTTCAAATCACTTATTATCAATAATAATTTTATTGATAATTATCATGAGGAGTCCTTAACCAGGATATAGTTAGGCAAGGGAATTAAATATTCATGTA